AAGCACATGGCTTTACAGCCTCCGCGCCGGAAAGGAAACCCCGAAAAAGCTGAAATCTGGTCTGACTGACAGCTAAACTGTCTACTTCACGGAGAGCGAAGATACAGTAAAAGTGCAGAACCGTGATTTTTAATAGCAGGAGTCAACTTGATGTGTTTTAGAGGTACCCTCTGGGTACGAGGTTGAGGCAGAGGAAAAACCCACCTCTTACTGTGATAGAGGAGCACACAGAGCGACAGAGACAGAGAGAGAACAGCAGGCAGCCCCGACTCCTGCTTCAGCAACAGCTGACTCCCGCCTGTGCTGTCCCAGCGCCTGGCTTCCAGGAATGTGACTCCTCATGTGGAAATCCACATGCGCTCCATGTGCATCGTGATCCCTGTGCAGCTCAGTCAGCAGCACGGATCATCCCCCCCCTCTCCTGGGAACTCATCCCTGACTCATGCCCCAGGCCCGGGACACCGAGGGGCACGCTGAGGTGCAGCCTGCCCCGCTCCGAGCGCACACACGCTTGCCTCTCTCCTCACAGACAGCGCCGTGCTTTCCGTCTGATTCTGTAACACGAGGAGCAGAGGAGCACTCGTGCGAAACTGCTGCCTGAACGCAGGCTGTCGTGAGTGTGATCTCCACCCGCGCTGCACCGGAGGGTAGTTCTCGGAAGGACTGAGCTTCGAAGCAGCGAGGAAGAGAAGAGAAGAGAACACCCCACCAGCTGTGCCTGGAGCCAGCAGGGAGGTCGTGTGAGGGCCTGGTGCACAGTCCAGCTGTCCCTGCACAGGGACCCCTGGATCTGGTGTTCATTCAGCGTTAACCTGCGCACCCACAATTACACCCCAGCACACTGCCCCTCCTCTGTCTTCACTTCACTTGACCGTAAATAAAACGAAAGTGCTTATAGTGGACTTTCGGAGACACAGGCACTCACAGCCCACTCATTGATGGAACGGAAGTGGAAACAGTCACCAGCTTTAGATTTTTGGGAATTCACACTTCTAATGATCTAACCTGGACTGTGAACACTGACTCTATCATGAAGAAGGCTAAGCAGCGCCTCTATTTCTCTATTTTTCGATGGGGGATGCCAGTACCTGTGCTGGTGAACTTCTACCGCTGCACCATCGAGAGCGTCCTCACCAACGGGATCACCGTGTGGTACGGCAACAGCTCTTCTCGAGAGAGAAAGGCACTGCAGAGAATGGTCAATATGGCCCACAAGATCATCGGCTGCGGTCTCACCGAGATTAAACAGCTCTATGAGGACCGCTGCCGTGGTAGAATTCTGGCCATCACAGAGGACAGTCACCACCCCGGGCATCACCCCACTGCCCTCAGGCAAGAGGTACAAGAGCGTACGGACACTTACCACATGATTCTTCAATAGCTTCTATCCACAAGCAGTGCGATTGGCGAATGCATTTAGCCATGCCCCTCGGACCACACCTACACCCTCTACCTCAATATGATTTCTTATTTATTTATTGCACAACTCCAGTCATTGTTTACATGTCTGCATTGTTTACATTCAAACTGTTTACTTGTTTACTTGTACATTGTCTACTGTTTGTTTGTCTATTGTCTTTCTGCACTTTGTGTTTTTACACTTGTTTTAACAATCCAGAGACTTTCTGTCAGTAACAATTCCATTGTACCAGTACATGGACTGGTTAGATATGGCAATAAAGTTCAAGTTCAAGTAAATTATCCCCAAAGAAACCGGCGCTAAGTGCACAAAACAGCGGTACGCCTCAGCTCTCCTCCACGGGCTCCAACATCAGGGGTCACTTCGGCCTCGCCGGAGGAAGAGGAACGGGATGGAAGAGCACCAGGCAGCAGTCAGGGAGGCCCGCGGCTCTGTGAACGAGTCTGGGCTCCTCGGCCGGCCCGGCCCGTGAGAGATCTGACCCGCTGCCCCCCCGCTGAGGAGGCCGAGGGAGCAGGGAGGCACGCCCGACGCGTTTCCCTACAACAGCGGGTGAACGTCTCACTGTGCCGCTTCAAGTCGCCGGCGCGAGGCCAGCTGAGAGGGATCAGATCTCTGATGGCCCAGGGGAGTGTGTACCTTGCACTCGCACTACAGATCCACAGGAAGAGAGGAACAGCAGGCACCCCGCTAGCTGGATGCTGGGCGCAGAAATGAAGGGCGCCCCCCAGCCAGGCCGTTTCACGAGGCCTACTTACAGCCGGGGCAGCAGGGCGTTGACGCGGGAGGGCGAGAGAAGTCTTAAGAAACAAAGGCGAGTCCTTTCAGAAACGTCCACAAATTCCTGACAGATCCCACAGGAATGTTAGAGAGAAACATCAGATGGGTATCTCACGCGTCTGACGTTCACCCTACCCCTTACCCCCCTCCCACACGGGATCAGGGCGAGTCCAGAGGGGGCTGTGGGCCGGCGAGCTCGAGGGGGGTGTTTTTTTTTTGAAGCAGCGAAATGAGGGAAGTCAAACCCATCTCTGCCAAAGTGAAAAGGATTAGCCGGGACCACCAGACGTGCGGTTTAGGTCACGGGGACAGAGTTCAGGACACTGAAACCGCCAGCCGTCAGACCTGGGCAAGACGGAGGGGAAGACATTTCTTCGGGGAACTCGACAGCAACAAGGGACAGAAATCTTTCCTCCCTTCTTAGGGTGGAAGGACACAGCGCAAGAGCGTTCCGTCTTAAACTCGCAAGGCTGGCTCCGGAGGACAAAGGGCTTCATGTCTGTGTGATAATAATGCTCTTAGGATTAACAATCCCCCCCCCGCCTGCCCTGTTCTCTGCACCCAGCATCCTTCAGTGTCGCCCGCAGGGACAGGGCTCTGCTGGAATGCAGAGGACACGCAGAAAGAGCTGAAAGAGATACAGAGCTCTGGGCTGACAATAGCAAGGTAAGACAAGGCAGCAGGCAGGACTAATCGTCTGCGCTGACCCACTTCATGGCTTGAATACTGAGCAGCCTGACTGACGTCAATGATCCAGCGCTGCCTAGAGGAGGCAGTGGGGGAGCGAGGAGGGAGGCTGCTTTCAAAATAACAGTCTCTCCTTCTGCCTGCCTCCCGGAGCCCCTTCATGCGCGCACACGCGCACACGCGCACACGCGCACACGCGCACACGCGCCCAGAGCCGGCTGTCATTCACAGCCCCCTGCCACCGTGTGGCACAATTCCCCTGCGGCTGCACAAGTCCCCCCTTCACCGGCCAGGCTCCCCAGAACCCACTCGGGGTCAGAAGGGGGGGGGTCTGCAGACCCCGACCTCTCCTCTCCAGACGGGGGACGCCTGCGCTGGTGAGTGATCTGGAGTCCCCTAAAAGCCTGACTGACCACCCTGCGCACTGGAGCTCAGGATCAGCAGCAGATGGTGGCTGGGGGGCCTGTAGATCTGCCCCCCTGTGCTGCAGGTACGCCCAGTTACACCGTTCCAGCACTGGGAACAGCGTTTATGAGTTCACGCCTTGGCGAAAAATACAATTCCAGCTTTGCTGCTAGTTGGCGTCGCCACTTAAATATGTACTACAGTGCATCTGAGATCAGCCAGCACTTTGTGAGCGTGACTCATTTTATTGGACCTGATGTCAGGCTGCTGGAGAGGGACTGCTCCTCAGCTCAGCCGAAGGTGCAGGACGCCGTGTAAACCCTGTAATTTATGATTATTGCTTTTGCAAGCGTCCGACGCAGCATAACTCGCAGGCAAACTGCGCAATCACACTCCGAGATGTAAATTCTCATGTCTGACTCTGCTGGATGGCCCTGAGAAATACGGACTCTCCCGGAGGAGGAGGAGGAGGAGGAGCACCTGCGCGGGGGGACGGTGCTGGGAAGTGCCCGCCATAAAAGCAGAAATCCCCAGCTGCTTCATTTTTCAGTCCAGGAGCCCCTTAGCTGCAGCAACAAGAAATGCAGTACGGCAGGTGTGAGCCTAAAATAAAGAACGACTCGAAATCCAGCCGTTCTGTCCTACCGTTGCACATCTAAGCCGCCGGAGGTGTCTGTCCAGCAGGGGGCGCAAGGGGGCAGTGAGATATGATCACGGTCACACACCTGAGAGGTGTCAAACCACAGCGCACCAGGCCCGGGGGCGTCTTGCTGTTAATAACTCATTAAGCTCGTTAATTTAATGAATGAAAGGGTTTGAGTTTGCAAGTGCTGGAATGGGACCGGTCTGAGGCCTGGAGAGAGCTGCAGCTCGGGGCTCAGTCCCCCAATTCGGTTCGATCTGTTTCGACAGTGTCCAGCTGCAGGCTCCTGGGCAAACTGTGCGGACAGCTGAAAGATGTAGGGCTGCACAGCTCGGACAGCCCAGCACACTTGCGATGGCTTCCTCCAAAGAGCCAGCTGCAGGTGAGCACACCTGGAGGGGCTCTGACCACTGTTTCAGGCGTGAGTGACAGGCGGGACAGAGCCCTGTGACCCCGGGAGTCTGTGACCCCAGGAATTTACTCTGAGGCAATGGGAGGAGCTGGCAAAGACCTCTTATCTCTCTCAGCACACAGGCATCCTGACAGCAGCTCTCGGGGCGTGGCCACTTCAGGAAGCTACCAAAGGCCGAGGAGGAGGAGGGCAGAATCTGCTAAGCAGTGTCTGTTTTCTACCCAGACAGCTCAGCTGGACTTAGGGAAACACATTCGCCAGGCTCAGGTGGTGCCCTTGTCCGGGCAGGGAGGTCTGGAGAGGAGAGGCGGGCTTTGGTGGAAGGACTGGACAGTGGGATTTGTCTCTCGGTCAGAGAGAGTCTGGGGAGAGTCTGGAGCCGCAGGTGATGATGACTTTGTGGGAGTCAGTCTTTGAGCCTCTGAACTCCGAACAAACCCACAGAGATGAACTTAGCAGCCGTGCGCCAGGAAATACAGACCCAGGGCTGGTCAGCTCAGGCCGGTCTCTCTGCCCGAGACTTCAGGGCGCGAGAGTGTGAGACTATGGCCAGGTCCTTTTGGACAGATTCCCCCCCCAGGACCGCGCCTGCGCTCTTGTCACCCCTGGAGTGGGACAGACTGTCCTGGCCTGAGCCCCCCGTCAGACCTGCGGCGAGACAGGAGTGCCGGGGGGGTAACGGCTCTTTGAAGTGGGATATAAAAGCCCTCCTCTCCCACAGCCAAGCTGCAACCTTTCTTTGAGTCCCATCATGCCGCTGGGCTTCTGAGAGGCCACGGCCAAGTGTCCTGCTGAGGGAGGGCGCCCCGCCCCCCATATCGGGGACGTTTAGTGACTAAATTGGGGGGCCCCTCCCTCGTTAAATGTCAGAGCTCCGTGGCCCAATTTAACTTCAGAGGAGCGGAACGAGAACAGGAACACGGGGAAAGGTCTCTGGGCTAAGGAAAAACACGCAGAGGCAGAAAACAACTTGACTTGCTTAAACCCCAGAGAGGGGCGCAGAGGACAGGGTGTCCGACAGGAAGGAGGACAGGCAAGCTTCTTGAATTGTGGGGGGCACGCTTTCCTCTAGAGAGTGCCCCCCAGAGGCCGGGATGAATGCGTCACCCAGGGCCCAAGAACAAGAGAGCGCCCCCTTGTTTCCACTCCCTCCCCACGCCTCAGTAACACAGCCCTGCCACACAACAGTCCCACCTCTCCCCCGGCGGTGCTGACTGGCCGGTCAACACAACTCGATTCCAGGGATCTCCATACCACACTGTCACGTGAGCGTCTGCGTCAGGCCCTGCAGGGTGCCCCATGGCCAAACTAAAACCTGTGCTGGATCCTGCTCCCTTCTGTGCCTGGTGTTGTACCCCAGGTGCAAAGCGCTGCCTTGCTGCCACAGAGAACCCCCCCCTCCAGAAGCACATCCTACATTCTGATGAGGTAAGCCAGCCCCCCCCAGTCTGATCAGGGCAGCACCGCCCCGGGCCGGGCCCGTGTGGCGGACTGGGCTCCTACCTGCGATCTTGATGTTCATGTGCCCGTCCAGCAGCAGGTTCTCCGCCTTCAGGTCGCGGTGGACGATCTTGCGGTTGTGGCAGTAATCCACGGCGGACAGGATCTGCCAGAACTTGCGGCGCGCCTCCGGCTCGCTGAGCCGCCCGTGGCTGGCTAGGTAGTCTGGGGAGAGAGGCGAGGTTTCGGGTTACTGGGACCACTGCAAGAGCCACTGCTAAGCACTCATGCACACTTCAGCACTGACAGCTGTAGTCCCCAATCCTAACTCTTAACCCTACATTAATTCATAAAGGATTTCTAGGACGATCACTGTGATCACTGTGTTGACGGAAACTATGAGTGCTGCTCAGTGGATTTTGAGGGGCGACCAGGGTGCACTCTGTGACCGTGAGACCGCCCGAGTTGAGCCCCAGCCCTTTGCACGGTCACCAGTTTGCGTTTCACGTGCACAAAACGGGCATCTCTACACCATCAACATCTGCAGCCCTGAAGCCAAGCAAGATCTGGCATAAAATCCCACTCAATTTCTGTCACCTGTACAAGCGAACTGATTTCATATTAATCTACACCACACCTGTGCCTCTTTTAGAAGATGGCCTCATATATCATTAACAGAGACAGACGTTATCATTAGACAGGTAGACAAAACATTGAAAGAGAATCCCATATGAATACAAACGTGACCCACTGTACAGCCGTGACCACTGTCTTCCCATCTGCTAGTGCATGAAGTCTTTTTCTGCCTTTTTTACATGATTTGTGCACAAGCTGATTGCCAGAAGGGCTCTGGGCTCTCAAGCAAATACGCAGCAGCTCTCTCCGAGCGCCAAGGATCCCATGCGTGTGCGCCGAAGACAGCACTCCTGACCGGGCCGCGAGAGGGCTGCACAATGAGGCCTTCACAGCGGGCCGAGCTCAGCTCGAACCCCAGCGGGGCCCTGCAGGTGAACAGCAGCTGCGGGGTGATTTTCACCTTCTCTTCATCTTCTGTATTTCCCCTAAAAGCTCCCATTGGCTTGACCTGCATGTAGCTGTTGTATCACACACACCCACACACACCACAAAGACACTCTGCTGTCTCGGCTCACGACCGCGGCCAGAGCCTCGCTGTCTCAACGAGGAACTGCCCATGAGACGGGGACGTTGGGTGGACAGTCTGTAGGAGGTGCAGACACTGGGGGGTTCAGGGCAGCGAAGAACTCACAGATACAGGAGGAGACATCAGCGCTGGCAATGATCAATGAGTTCACTGACTACAATGTGTTAACTGCAACCGGCATTAAACTAGAAGAAGAATAAGAGAGGTAGAGTACAGTTCAACAAACATATTTCTAAATAACTTTGCTTCAGGGACAGAAGAACAATGCAGCCCTTGTGTCTGTGACTGTATGCGGGATACTGGTTCTATACCACCATACAGGAGGCACTAAGCTGGCACAAACCAACCACAGCAGAGCCTCCAGACTCCGTCTCTAGTGCACACAATGAAAACCTTACAACGACCTGGCCCTCCAGGAGAAAATCCTGCTTTTGCTTGTGCCTGGCCGATTTGTTCTTCATTCTCAGGCTGACGCAGTCTCTGTCAGGCCCTGCCACCCCAGCTCCGCGGGACTTGAAATCAGGGAGCCAGCAGGAGTGGACAGGCTCGGCGCCGGCACGCAGCTCAGTCTCCCCCCCTTCTCTAGATAAACGCACTCGGGCCCCCTGGAAATGTTCTGAACTGCGGGGTCGTTGGCAATAGAGATGCTGACGTCAGTAGTGTCACCTCCTGCGGCTCACCCAGCAATTAAATGTGTGTGTGTGCGCACGCCTTGTGCAATCCACCTCTCCGCTGATAACACTCCTGTGGCGAGAGGGCTGTGTGTGTCTGACAGGCCACTGCAGCAGAGCAACTGTCAGAGAGCGCTCGTCGTAATGTTCCTGTCGGCCATCCAGGAGCGCAGAACCGAAAAACAGATCGGAAACGCGGACAAGAGAAGGAGAGAAAGCGTGTTTCTTTTGTGTTTTTCCGGGAAGGAACGATGCTGGAAGCGGATTCTTCCGGTTTCGGTGTCTTACTGGCTGCACCGAGGCAAGCGGGAGACAGCACCTCTGTTTCAAAAAGCACCTTTCAGAAACCCAGCAAAGAGACACGAGTTTCTGGGACCGCCAGAAAAGCACTCTCGGGCAGACTCTTTGAGCTCAAGACAGTCAAAACTGACTCCGACAACTTCCTCCCCCGTCAGAACACATCAGTGTTTGCCGCTGCCTAAGTTTTTTTTAAACCAATTCAATTTAAAAACAAAACAAACAACAAAACCATTCTGTTTTCATAAAAGCTGGTTTATGAAAAACACCTGGAGGTCATGGGGCTATACAGCTCCAACGTCTCTGCTGAACTTTAACCCCCACGCGGAGGTACGCAGGCGGGGGTCCC